GAAAATGCTTTTTCCACTTGCATAATTGCACTATGATGCTGTGTCACACTGTCACCTAGAGATTATGTAGCAAAAAAGCAGCCATTATATATGTGGTGCTCAGATTAGTTTTTTAGCAAACGCAAAAGCAAATATAGAAGATTAGCAGTCTTAAATACAAAAGCTCTTTTTTATTGCAAATTTCCATGGATTGGAGCCTATGCCATTAGATGCAACCCTGATGCAGTCTAATATCTAAATGAGATTTTCAATACTTGAATTCATATCAAATAAAGGGATCAGCAGGACTGAAGGAACCCCACAGAAGTAGAAACAAATCTAGTGCAGAGAACTACTAAAGGGTTTGGCCTCCAGCACAGAACTAAGCTGACTGGGATGGGGGTGGGACAGAAAATGGAAATGGGATGGAATGGAATGACTGGACTCTTGAACAAAAGAACTCCACATTACATGTTACAGTCCTGCTTGGACAATTGGATTTTGACAGTTTATTACCCCTTCCTTTCAGCTACTTTTCTTCTGCAAGTGGAACTTTTGCCCTTTAATCTGACTGATGTGTCATTGCCTTAGACTAAGACTAAAAAACCTTGTCCAAGGGAAAACCTGTTGGGACCATATGCCAGTAGTAGATGGAATCAAAGGCCAAAGTGGACATGTACCCCATTCGTACATGTGCACACACACAGAACATTTATATACATGCTTATCTGATGTGAGAATCTGGCCCTGAACTATAGGCATTGTTGCTTAGGAATCAAAGTCAGATTTAGATGTATGTATGTATTTTTTTAGATCCATATTCTGCTTGTTTTCTTACAAAGAACTCAAAACAGCTTACATCATTCTCCTCCTCCGTCTTTCAATCTTATTCCCATAATCACAACCCGGTGAGGTAGGTTGGGCTGAGAATCCGAGTGACCCAAAGTTGCCCAGTTGTCTCCATGGCTAAGTGGGGACTAGAACTCAAATCTCCTGAGTCCCACCCCCACAGTTTTAATAACTACACCACACTGGCTCACAGAAAATGAATAATGTGAAATTCTATGTTTCTGAAAAGGTGGCTGTCATAAGAGTGCACCATTGTTCACCTTCTCAGCTTATTATGAAGGAAAGGAAGGGTAAAATCCACAAGGGTCAGTATACTTTATATAACTGCTGCACTTTTGGCCTTGGGCTGATTTCTGCAGAATCTTCTCTGCAGAATCTTCTATAGGAACCCAGTATGGGGGGGGGGGGGGGAAGGAGAGTTGTTTAGGGAGGTATTTCAGCTTGCACTGCCAGCCCAGAAGGGCAGAACAGCAATTCCTTCATTTGACTGATTTATCTAAAGAATAAGTGGATGCAGCCCAGACAAATTAATAGGAAATCAGTGGCAGCAAGGAGCTCCTCATTTTGTTTTGAAGCAATCCAGCTGCTAGTAAGAAAATTGTTACTTTAGAGGGTTTTTTTTTTAATTGGGAGGAGTAGATCACCTGCTGTGTGTGAAGAAAAGTTTCCAGGAGTGCATTGGTGCCAATAGACATCACATTGGTAACATCTTCTCTATATTTGCTATTTGTATCAAAATTGATAGGAAAAAAACCCTAAACAAAACACATGTATGAAGAAAAGTGAAAGCAGATCATTTCCCACCTCTCCAAAAAGAAAAACCAAAAGAAAAGAGAAAAAAAACCCACCTGAAGAACTCCCCTTCTACACAGAACACTGTATCCTTCTGAAACTTGGCATGTTTATTACTTAGGGACATGCCTAGGATGCTTGTAAATTTCAGAACAATAACTCACAAGGAACATAAGCCTATTCTCTTTTAGATACTTTCAAAATGTCAGTTTTGTTCTTGCATACCCTTATCTCACCCCCTGCAGTTATCATTCTTATTTGGATAGAATGTAGCATGTGTTTAACTGGAATTTCAGTGGGATGATGCTTTGGAATGGACATGTAAGAACAATTACTCTCCTTTATCCATTATGTTACTTATAGTGCATGCATGTAATTCACAAAAATACTATTTCAAATGCAGAATTTTAAAAGCTAGATCTGTGCTGGGTCACCATAATGTTTTCAGAATGTATGATACAGATCTGTACAGAAATTATTTAAACATATCTTTTAATGAATTTTGAGAGGAATAGTTAGCTTACCAGAATGTGTTGCTTTTCAGTTATCTTTCATAAAAATTGGCTGTTCTCCATTCAGACATGTGGGTATTTTAACGTAAGTTCCTGTTTTTTCTATTTTACAATTGAAATTGATACAGCTGTCAGATCCAGTGCTTCTTTCTTTGATGCTGTTCATATTGTCAGCTTGACTGATTTTAGATTTGTTGGTAGTTTAGCTGTGTCTTTGCTAGAAATCCTGTTTTTGGGACGTGTGGATATGATATAAATGTATTACTCAGAAAACGTGTGAATGAAAAAGAATTCTGCTATAGCAGATCAAAGACTTTCCTAGGCAAATTTTCCAATGGGGCCTCTTGCAGAAATCCATGCATGGCATAAGAAGCAGTTGCCCTCCATGCCTGTTACCCCTCCAAAAATTGGTATTAACTGGCAAACTGCCTCTGAACATGGAAGTTCTACTTAGCTCTCACAGCTGTTGATAGACTTGTCCTTCATAACTTGTCTAAAACAATGGCCATCATCACATTTCCCATCACATGCCCACCCACTCATACCCCTCCCCTTGCTGCATGTGTCTAACACACTCCACTAACACACTGGGCTGCATCCACTCTACATGCTGCATTTGCACATTCTGACAGGGCTGCCTCCTACAGCAGTCTGGTGCATGGAGGGCTGCAACATGAGCACTGGTGCCTGGCATGAACAGGGAGTGCCTTGATGGGCATACTTTCTCAAGGATGTCCGAGGAATCTTTGCTGGCTGCTCCCATGATCTCTACTGCTGGAGGCGCTCCTTTTCTTTCTTCCCACCATGTACTCCCCAATGCCTGGTCAGCCTGCATTGCCACCTAACCATGGTGCCAGTCTCATTGCCCCACCTTACTGACATTTCTCCCCTGCCTTGCCACCCTCTCCATAGCTTTGTAAGCCGCCCCAAGGCTTTTTGCGAATGGAACAGCATAAAAATGTTCTAAATAAAAAATAAATAGCCTTGCTGTCTTGTTACCTTGGCACCTCACCATGTCAGCCATGCTCATCTGATAAAGCCTGGCTCACTGCAATGCAAGCTTTGCTTTGTGAGCTCACAGATATTCCTGTGTCAAAAGACAGCTTGGTCTCTCTGAGATGCCAACCGCAAGAGACCTTGCTGATGTGCCCTACTCATAATGCTATCTTGCAAGACAGGCACATCAATTAGCTCGCAAGGTAAGGCTGACATCACAGCAAGGCCAGGTATTGTGAAACAGACATGGTAGACATCTTGGTGAAACATCAAGATGGTGAGGCAGTGAGGTAGGTGGAACAGCAAGGCAGGGTGGCCAGTCATTGGAGAAGGCATGGTGGGAGGGAGGAAAGGGCATTTGGAGACAGCCAATCAGCACCCTGCTGTCAGCAACTGAGCAGTTGCTAGGTAAAACAGGTCAGAGGAAAATGGCAGCTGGAATGGCTGAGGCTGCCCAGCTGCTCTTGCCACCAAACTCATCAGAAACAGGGAAACTACAGAAAAACATTGAAAATGAATGCACACATAATGACAAGCAATGGAGGAGCCTAAAAACCTCAGCACAAAATGTCAGTTCTCTGTTGAGATTTATGGTAACCAAATAAACCATACTTCACCATGCCTGCTGAATTCTTACATGACAGCAAGCCATTCATGCGTAGCTTGTCGTTATGTGTGAACCCAGCCACTTTGGGCTTTAGATGGGCTAAGGAAAGAGCACAAGGTGGAGACGTCAGCAAAGGGAATGCTCCCTGTAAAGGGAACTGGCTTGTGGGCTCCAGAGAGTAAGGGAAGAGTTGATTTTGTAACTGGAAAAATGCTATGAATCCAGGTACCATCCTAGTGGGGATCTGGCACCCAAGGCATTGGGAGCCACCCTCCTTTTGTGAAGAAAGCTATCTAAAATTATGGCCTCAAGGATGCCAGATATAACAGCTATGGCCTGCTAGCGAATGGCACTTGGAGCAGATCACTGGTCCCAAGGACTGGGAGATGGGCCATCACCCCACAGGTCAGCTGACCTAGGCTGAGGCAGGGGATAAAGCCAGGAGCAAGAAAGGCTGTTCTTCTCTTGGGAGGTTCTGGTCTGCTGCTCTTGCTCTGTGCTGAAGATTGCTGTGTTACCCTGCATATCCTGAGCCTATGGAAGTTAGAACCTCTATATGTATAGCTGAGGCTAGGATTTAGATTTCTTGTTTTCTGTCTGAGTGGGGCAACAAGGCCCTGGAAGCTGGGGTTTCTTGGATGGCTTTAAGCTGCTGCTGTCCACTCTATTTTACCCTGCTGTCCCTATTTTACCCTGTTTTCTTCTGCTTTCTATTTTAAGGTTTTAACTCTAGCTACAATTATCGTGTACTTAAATAGCATTATTCGTCTTAACTTACTATAACAGCAAAGCATCTGTACAAGAGCTGATCTCTAACAGTATTTTCAAAAATTCTATTCCATTTATATAACTTCCCTTGCTATAGGTGCTGCTGTTTCTTTAGTTTTCCTGTTTTTTCATTGTGTTTTAATGAATTTGCTATGTTTTGGGTATGTCTGATTTTACTCTGGATATTATTATTAGACATTGTGAATGACTTTTTGGCAAAAAGGTGGATATAAATGGAAATGAATGAATCAGTTAACAGTGAACTCAAAAGAGAGCCACTGTTACCAGAAACAATAAGCCACAGGTTGGCATGTCACCATCCCCATGCTAACGTACCTACTCGAGGTTTGTTAGTGATAATTCCATCAGCATGGTCCCTATTCACCAGTGATTGTGTGTGTGTGTGTGTGTGGGTGAAAACAGTCATCAATAATTCAGTATAATCTTTAACCATAAATATCCTTATACAACTGTACTTTTATATTTTGTTTTCACAGACCTTCAAGCTGTGATTATCATAATTTTACCTTCAAAATACCTACGTAAGAATTTTTATATTAAACAAACACAGAAATAGATTCCTTTTGATTTTCTTTCCAGAACAACTTCTGTTTATGTAAATGGCACTGGGGTGGTAAAGCACACATATATCAAACCCTAGCTTTGCTAGTACTGGTAATAATTGGAGGGCAGGTATTGAATCCAGATATATTTATATTATTTAGTATTATGTTTATATCCCAACTTTTTTTCTCTTGTAAGAAACTGAAGGCAACTTTCATGGGCTTCCTCCTCCCATTTTTATCCTCACATCAGCCCTGTGAAGTTGGTTAGCCCAAGAGTCAATGGCTGACTCAAAGTTATCTAGTAAGCTTCATGGCTGATTGGGGACTAGAGCCCTTACCTTCCAGGTCCCAGCCCAACACTGTAGTTCATCTCACCTGGGAGGGAGGGAGCTTCGTAATACCAGTGACAACCGTAAGGATTACCTATTTTTGGTTGAAGGAAATCTTATTGCAAATGGTGTGGGCATCTAAGGCAGTGCCAGTTCACCTGGTCAGTATGTTAAAAAAAGGTAATGCCTTCAAAGGCTAAACCAAATATCACGAACTTAGCCTGGAAACAAATTGGTAGCTGGAACAGAATTCATTATATTCGAGTTCTTTACCTCTCTTCAGCCACCCCATTTATTCAAGATCAACTCAGCAGTGCTATTGATGCTTCTGAAGAAGAATGCCAGGCTAGGAATGATGGCTAGAAACAATTCCTGGCCATGACTACTTCAGTCAGCAATGCAGATGTGTAACACATGCTTTATGCAGAAATCTTACAAGTTTTTAAAATGTATTTATGTAAGTTTGGTAGTCATGATGATTTAATTTTTAATTTTAATTTAAACATACATTTATATCCCATCCTTTCTGACGAATGGCTCAGGACGGCTTACAATGATTTAAAATACTACAATAATGCAATGATAAAACAGTAGATATTAAATCAATATAAAACAACACTTCATAAAACAAGGGAAAGAAGGAAGGAGAAAAAGAGTAGAAAATGCAACTGTGGAAAAAAGATCTAAAAACCTTAATTATTAAAATGATGGTTGAATAAAAAGGTCTTTACCTGGTGCCGGAAAGAGTATAAAGTTGGCACCAGGTGGACCTCTCTGGGGCACCACTGCAGAGAAGGCCCTCCTCCGGGTAGACACCCTCCATACCTCCTTCAAAGAGGGTGTCCTGAGGCTGGAGCACTCTTCCCATACACTCACACAGGAGCCGGCAGTTAGAGCTTTAAATCTTTTATTCTAAGAAAGTTCAAAGCTATACAGACAACAAACAACAAAGGAACTTGTAATGATGGTGTTATGGCGACGTTGTCCCCCTCTTTCTGAGGGGGATCAGATTATGAAACACTCTTGACCCGTCTGGGACGGCCCTCCCTGGGCAGGTCAGACAAGCTTCTCTCCCTCCTCCTTTCCATTTCCCTCGACTCCAGTTGCCCCAAACGGCGGGCTCTCCTCCTATCTCGAGTGGAAGCTAGACTTTTCCCAGAGTCTTTATCTCCGTCTTGCCCTGCCGTTTCCACGGTAACGGGCTCACCTCCCTCTGCCCTCATTCCATTATCAGCTTCTGCTGAAAAGCTGCCTGTCTGCTCTGCCTGAAAAACTTCGTCAAAGTCAGAGAGCAGCGGGGAGAGGGGTGTACAATGGGCACCAGGTAGAAATCTTCCTGCTCTGGTGTTTGATTCTCACAGGGAGCACTCTGCTCTCTCAAGCGCACCGACTCCTCTGAGTTGTTGCTCACGACAGAGGGTTCCCCCAGCCAGGCCTCCCCTGCCGATCTTAAGGGGCGTGAGGGCATATAGTAGATCTGTCTCACTTTTTGTTGTCTTGGCCTATTTACACAGTTTTTCAGACAAAGATCTCTAAAATAGCTTCTTGACAAATAACAGTCAAATAAATTCAAATTTCTAAATTGAATGCCTACCCACCAAAAATAATAGAAATGCAACTGAAAAGGTGTATTTATTTGCTTCTGCATGTATGCATATGCCATAAAGTTTGGCTGTTTTAATAGCTAACTATAGATTTTGGGAGCTTGTGCCTTGCTTATTAAATCATAGCAATGTGACTATTACTTTTCACATTTAATTTTGTATTTAGTTTTGTTGTGATTTCTGGCCAAACAAATGAAATTTATTTTACTCAATGTATTCATTTCATATATGACTTTCTTCCATATAGGCCACTCCTGTTCTGAGAACAATTTGCTGGCTGTGCCCTTCTTAAGCTCATTTGCTTATGGTATGGAGGAGGGATATGTGGAATGTTTTCTCCAGTGCGACCAGGCAGGCTCTTAAAAATTGAGTGCTGCTACTGGCAACTGAAAACATGAGTGTTTTCCTAAGTGTTTCCAGTACCACTAGTATTGGCAGCCACCCCTGGTCATTTTAATTAAATTTTTAATTGTTTTTATTACTGTTTTATTGTTTTAAACTTTATGAGTTTAACCCTCTTTGAGTTTATTATTAAAAATGAAAAGCAGTATAGACTTTTTGAAATAATTATTACAAATATAGCACCATAAGATGATGCAATATGAATTCATCAGGTAACTGTAGCCAGTTTAGCGACAAATTATCTAAAGATGACTGAAATAGCATGTAATATCTATAGGATTTTCTTGAAAGCTATTTTCTTCCACATCTGTAGACTGAAAGAAAGAGCATGCTGATAGATGGGGCTGGTATGTACCTATTGGCCCAGATCTAGATATATTCTAACATAGCAGACCTGCTACCTACAAAACTTTTTGTGAGCCGCCCCGAGGCTTCAGCGAATGAGGCGGCATAGAAATTTTCTAAATAAATAAAACAAATTATTAGTGTTCTCTGCTTGGATGTGCTTTTGGAGGAGAGCATGCTGCTGTGTGGGCCTTTACTGACACTTTTGTATAAGTTTATCATGATAGAGAAAACTCAGTACCATGCAGAAACAAATCCTGATGGCATTGCACCCAATTTCTTTGTTTTGTCTGTTAATTGGTTTGTTTAGTCTTTTCCTTTTGAGCAACTTCATTCAAGAATGACCAGTGAGTCAGCAGCTTTTTAATCCTGAGAGAAGGGGAGGCAGTAGTGGAGTACTTGTGACTTTATAACATGCTAAGAAGTATGTGAGTCCCAGTATCAATTTATATGACTATGAGCAGCCACTCTTCAAGGTTTTCAGTCACTGTTGAGTAACCAGGACTTTCCTTCACATTAGGAAATACCAGTGGATGAAAACGAATGAAAGCGAAGTGGTAAGAACATGTTTTATTGAATGAACTAGTGATGCAAATAGAGAGAGAAAAAGATAATTTATACTGAAATATCTTTCCCTTTAGGAGATAAAATACAATAAGGAAAAATTTGGATGTCCAATACAGGCCTTGTATACAGAGCCGTTTCGTCCTGTTGCTATCTTGTAAGTAGTGCTTAAACACTTCAGAGAGTGATTGAAAAGATATATTAAGTCTTTCCTTAGCCTTCCTCTCCCCAGCCCCCAGAATAGGAACACAGAAAATAGCTACAATGCAGAAAATTCCTTGATTACTCACACATTCTGCCAACTCTGTTAGGCTGAATTCACCATAACAGTAAGGATTTTGGCTGACATATTCATCTCTTGTGGGAGTAATACTGAGATAATCAAAAATGCTTTACATGTTTTTACTATCTTATACAGAAACATTACACTGTATTTCTCTTCAGATACGAGAATGATGAAGCTATTAGCATTGTTCACTCTGACTATATGTTATGGGAAGTTAATGGCAGGGAAGACTTTCATTATAACTCAACTATGGAACAGGTAAGAGCTAAATATATTTCTACATTAAATATAATGTGGATTTGACTTTGTTTACAATGGTTTATTTTAAAAAGTGAATCATTTTCACGCAGAAATACTTCACAGAAATCATTCAGTGTTGGTTTAATAGCAAGTGCTTCAAAACTTTAGAATGATAATAATATTCTATTATTTAGAATAATAATAGAATGGAATAGATATTGGAATAATAAGGATTCAACCAGGCAAAAGTAGCAAATTCCTTTTTATACAGGGCAGTAAATTCCTTCCCGAATAGCTGGGTTCAGACAAAACAATAACCTACATTCAAGGGTTCAGTATCAGTTGAGTGCGAGTTGTTGTCAAACCATGGATTGTTTTTGAAACATGGGTTATCATGTTGTCTGAACCCAGCTGCACTAACAAACGATGGTTTGTTAATTCTGAACCCATGAAATAATCCATGGTTTGTTGGACTGTGAACTGTGGCTTGTTTGTCCACAAATGGAAGACATGTTGCACAAATAGGTCTGCTGTTGTCTAGGCAGAGAGTGATGCTACACATGGAATAAGATGTGCCATCTTTGTAAAAAAAAAAAAAATCAACGCCATCAAAACAGCAGTTTTGCCCTGTGAGGCAGGCAAGTCATTGTTAAAATCCAAGACAGCCTTTTCCACAGTGATGTTCATTCATCATTTTCGATAACGACCTTGACATCTAATGGGTTGTGAGTTGTCCACAGTGTGTCTGCAGGTGGCTGATAAGGCCAATACAGGCACGGAGTGTTCTGCCACATGTCCGGCAGACATGTGTGGGCACCACTGTTGCAACGTTTGCAACTCTGGCTTTACGGAGTGCTCGTTTCTCTTCGCTATGGTTGTCCTTTGGCTTCAGAAGTTTGGCAGCCTTGGTGGATCAGTGTGCGCCATGTCGATCGGTCTTGTGCCAGGGTCTCCCAGGAGGTGGTGTCGATAACCTGGGACTAGAGAGAGGCTTTCAGCATGTCTTTGTATCGCTTCTTTTGTCCCCTGTGCAATCACTTTCCTTGAGACAGCTCACCATAGATATGCTGTTTGGGGATGCGGTGGTCTGGCATCCTTGCACCATGGCCTGCCCAGTGTGTCTGGGCTTTCATCAGCAGGGTGTGAACTGATGGCAGGCCTGCTCTGGAGAGGACCTCTGTGTCTGGTACCTTGTTCTGCCACCGGAACCTCAAAAGTCTGCGGAGGTAAGTCGTGTGGAAGTGGTTCAGTTGCCTAGCATGCCTCCTGTATACTGTCCAAGTCTCACTGGCATACATCAAGGTAGTTAACACTACTGCTCAGTAGACTTTAAGCTTTGTAGCAAGGCTTATTCCACGGCGGTCCCACACTTTGGCCTGCAGTCTGCCAAATGCAGAGCTTGCCTTGATGATTCTGCAGTTGACCTCGATGTCAATTGTCACTGCGCGGGAAAGGGCGCTGCCAAGGTATATAAATTGGTCCACTGCTTGCAGCTTTTGTCCCTTCACTGTGATGGTGGGCTCTTGGTAATGGGCTTTCAGAGCTGGCTGATACATCACTTTGGTTTTCTCTGTGTTGATGAGGAAGCTGAAGTTGTCGCATTCTACTGCAAAATTGTCCATGCTGGCTTGCATTTCCTGCTCTGATCCAGCATTCAGGGCGCAGTCGTCAGCAAAGAGGAGGTCTCGTAGCACAGTCTCCTTTATCTTGGGGACAGCCTGGAGTCTTCTCAGGTTGAACAGTTACATCGGTCCTGTATTTCAGGCTGACTCCCAAGGAGTTGTTCTGAAAGGCGTCTGTCAGCATGGTTGAAAACATTATGCTGAACAGGGTCGGTGCCAGCACGCACCCTTGCTTGACGCCATTTGTGATGGGAAAGGCCTCTGAAGCTTCTCCATCATCCAAAACATGAGCTGTCATGCCGTTGTGGAACTGACGTACCATCAGGATGAATCAAGTAGAAGCCGTAGAAGCCCCCCAGACTTTCCAGTTGGTTTCCTTTTACAATGATAAATGGCATAGGAATGCACATACATTTTGACATTCTGATATACCAGTGGCCAACAAAAATTACAGGGAAAGTTTTTTAAAAATCCAAAATATCCTGCAAGAGGTGAGTCAATGATGCAGTACTTTTCCCTCAACAGCAGAAAGGGCAGATACATACACTGCCTGCTCAAAAGGTTGCTTAGCTGTTGAAGGCTTAGATCACTGAGCCACAGGTACAGTAGGAGGGACTCAGGACAGCCACACTCTGGGTGAAGAATTTGGTTTGCAGGTGGCTGTTCTCCTTGCCCTGACTGGTGCTCAGGTTTGCAAGAGAGGCCATCTATCAGCATGTTCTGAAAGGCAGGGATGTGCATGATAAGCAATGAAAGTGGGAAAAGAATGAAGAAAATCATTGTTTATTTAATAGATTATGGAATGTGCTCCTTGGAGAGGTGCGCCTGGCTCTGAGTTTATATTCTTTTTGGCGCCAGGTTAAAACCTTTTTATTTAATCGCTATTTTAAAACTATTTTATCTTTGAACAGTCGCTCTTTTTGTTTTCAGTTTTTTGTTCTTATGTATTCTTTTATTGAATTTGTTTATTGTTTTTAATTGTATATATTGTGAGCTGTCCTGACTTGCCAAGGTGATGACATACAAAAGTTTTAAATAAACAAATAAATAAAATAATAATAGTTTGGAAATCTGTAAATGCTCCAAATGTGCCTATACACGTGTTAATGCATTTAATTGCCAGGAGATCTTTTCCCCAAATGATAACATTATTTTCAGAAGGGGCTAATTTTTGAGTATTGTAAGTGCAAGGCCATAACTCCTTGCCTTTCCTCACTCCCTTTGTAAGAGGAGTGTTTCTACTGCTTCGTCTGAAGTCTTATTTTGAAGAACAAATGGATTGCTTGAGTTGAGGTGTTCCAAAATGGGCCCAGAGCTAAATAATTGCTTTAAAAGTTGCAAGGCCTGCTAAAGAACAGTGAAGGGATGTTTTCTTACCTTTGAACAAAATGATTAGTGAAGTCATAACCTGAGCAATAATTAGTTAGGAATTTCCAGTAAAACTTCACAAAGTATAGAAACTTCTGTAAATTCCATTTAGAATAAGGTGCTTCCCAGGTACAGCACTGTTTGGATTTTTTCTGTGGTCATTTTGATGCCTTGGGCTGAAATTTGAGCTGATACCAAGGTTGTCAAATCAAAGACACATTTATCCAGCTTGACAAAGAGACGTGGTGTTCATGCAATCTTTGTAACATTGCTTTTACATGTAGTTCATGCTAACTAGGGTCATTTGAGTAAGTTATTGAGATAAACAATTCCAGAATTTGTTTATTGTCAAAATAAATTCTCAGAATCTTGAAATTTGTCCAGGTAATCACAAAAATGTAATTCATGAAATACATAAAAATGGAGGGGTCTCTCACCAATCCAAAAGGTATCACAAGATATTCAGAACTGCTATATCTGGCGTGAAATAGTATTTCCCATTCCTCTTATTCTCATGCTTTTACTAAATGGTTAGTGCCTCAACGATCCAACCTGGTGAAAATTTGAGCTTTGCCTAAAAGTTCTAATAATTCAGCAATTAAAGGGAAGGGATCCTTGTTGGGGTCTGTGATTCTATTGGGTTTTTTGGTACTCATTCACCACATAGAGGGGTGCCTTTTTTGTCGTCTTCGTCTTCTTCTTTTGAGCCCCAGTCAAGCTGCTAGAGAGATAAATAAAACCATGTTTTTGGTTGGTATCTAAGAATTCTCATAGCATGGCCAATTCTCTGATAGACAAGGGATATAATTCCCTGACAGGAATTGATGCCCCTGGGATCAAGTGAATGGCACTGTCAAAAGGGGAAGGCAGGGGAAGGCAGACTACTTCTTTCAGACAAAAACATCTCAAAATTCCTAGTACTTTGCAGGGAAGGTGAATGGGGAAGCTATTTTGCTGCCATCAAGAGAGTCTTGAAAGGAGATCTTTAGTGTAAATAAAGTGCTGGTTCATAGGCAGCAATGTTGAGAGCAAAAAGTGGAAGAAAGCAGCATAGTTTGATTCCCCAAGAAATATGGGGATAATACTTGGCTAGCTATGTTCTGCCCAACACCACCACTTACTGCAGCACTTCTGTCAGAAAACACTAAATTTGTTCTGTATGGTCTTGGAATATTAATGTAACAGGGATGGAGAAGTGTATGTCCCTTCAATTGTCTTCGCAGCAATGAAGTGGCTTAAGGGCAGAGTTGCAAGGTGATTCTCCTTAGCAAAATTCATATCCATAAAATTTCTGGTAGCCTCTTAGGCCAATAAAATCTGTGTGGCTATCTCCTTCCCCTGAAAGGTTATGCTTCCAACATCATGTGTGAGTAGGATAGGATTTCTAATCCCTTACCATTCCCTCATGCCTTGAACCCTTCCAAGCTGGTGGCACCGATCAAGATCATGAACGGGAGTTTTCTGACAACTTGGAGAAGAGTGTAGAGAGCAGGCATGTCCTATCTACCCGTAATCCTGCAGCCCAATGGCACTTATATCCTGTTTTGGGCAATCTGGGTCTAACAGTGCTCAGTTGCATAGGTTCTGGACCTGATGACATGTGGGGAGGGAGTAAAGTCACCAGCCAGTGAGGAGCATGAGAAGCAGTGTCACAATATACAGGTCACTTGTGAGCTAGCTGATCTGCCTCAAGCTAGCTGTCTATCTGAATCAAAGTGCTGAGACTCAAAAGCTGAGCTGAATCAAAAGAGCTAGGGTTTGGAGCTGTTCAACCTATGGTTGGGACAAACCCTTTCAGAATTCATCCCTTCAGCATCAGCCCAGTCTTGCAAAGCAAGTTGAGCCAAGAGGATGTCCATTAATGCTTGAGGGACCCCTTGTTGTGCAACTGGCAACCTTTCCGATCAGGTGTAGCTGCCCAAAGAGTGGCTACAGGCACAGAAGGGGGCACTGCAAGTGGGTGCATTAGCTGTCATTCCCAGTGACCAACATTCTTCCCTGCCCAGTGCTGCTGGTGGTGACTGCACTGAGCGCAGAAGAGGGGCACTGTGAGTGGGTGTGCTGGGTATCACTCTCAATGACCAACCTTCTTCCTCATCTGTTGCTGCTGGTCGAGGTGCTGATGTGGAAGAGGGGCACTGCAGGTGGGCATGGTAGGTGCTGTTCCTGGTGACTGATCTCCTTCCCTACCCGATAGAGCCAGCAGCAGCAGTTCTGGGAACAGAAAGGGGGCTCTGCTTACATAGCATGTGAGGCTCCATTCCTGGCAAGCACCCCACAAATCCTGGGAGCACTCATCAGGAACCTGGACTCTGGGCCACTGCAAAGCAGACTGAAATCCAGGGAGCTGAGCCCGGGTATTCAATGGATTCCCACCCTTAAATGGATTCCTTGCAAATCCATAGTTCAATCCATTTCAGTTCATCCAAAATTTCACCATTCAAGTATTCGAAGTATTATGCTATATAAGAAGCATCATTCCATTGCAAATCCTGCATCACAAGCTAGCAATAGATGGTGTACTTTGCTACATTGTGCAGGTGTTGCAAAGATGATGGATCTTTCTGGCAGCTGTTTGGATCTGCAGGGTGTCACTAGAAAATGCTGCCATTGCATACATAAATCCTTAATAATTAGTCAAGGGGAATCATTATCAACCAAGCATGCCATCATTCATTTTTCTGCAACTCGTGACATTAAGTTGATTACAAAACCAACCTGCATTTTCATCATCTTTCATCATTTGGAAAATCTTTCAGTCTGGGTCATAAGTAGAGCTCTACTCGAACTCAAAAAATTGGAGAAGTTATTTGTCATTTCAAACTTTTCTGGAGGCCCCAGAGGACAAGGGGGGGGTGCTAAGATAGATGCTGTTGATGGGGCTTGTGCAGATGGGTTCACTGGTTCAGCCTCTTGAAGAGCTATGATGGCAGCAGCCAGCGATAGTGCCCAATTCTTGGCAACAATCACCTCAACCATTTTTTCCATAGTGACACCTGTTGAATGCAAAGTGGAGATGAGTTTGAAATCAAGCTGTTATGAGCTTGCGTCTCTCTCTCTCATTTTCCCTTCCCAGCAGATCATGAGAAAAGATTTCTAACTACAGTTTTTACTAAGCCCAGACTGACTTTTTGATACAGAGGGAGTAATATAAAGGTCATTAGCAAGAGGTATCAATCAGGCTAACAAGCCTTCCAATTGTGGATATTGGTTCTGGCCCAAGGCAGAAGTTGATTCCAAATTGAATTCTCCTTTTGCTTTCCTCATAAAACATTTGGCTCCTCTCTCAGGGATATTTGTGCTGTGCTCTTTGTGAGCCAGATGTTACTTCATTGGTCTGCTTGTTGGATTGGCATCAAAGCACTGGGCTGATTTCACCCGTCCAGCTCTGGGCCCTCCCATTCCACAGTGTCTCCCTTCTGGACCAGAGGCAGTTTGGTTCTCAACAGCTACTGGACTAATCTTACAGCTTGTTGGCCTTGGCAGTTCTGAGACTCTGCTTCTTCCAGTTCAGATTTTGAGCTATCCACTTGGGAAAGCTGTATTTTGGGAGCAACAAGTCCAGTCCCCGCACAAAACTAAATATATCTGACTGGCATAAAGGTGCATTTTCACTCCTGCAAAAGACAGACAGATTTTTAAAACTACAAAGACAGTTGTGCACATTTATGGGCCCAAATAAAATAAAACGGACAGTACATTAGTGACTGTCCCTTGCAGTGCTGCTTAAGTATTGGAGGGGCTGTTCCTGGGCAAGTTCACAGAGAGCAGAAAGGGATTTTGTGTTTTTTGTTTTTGTTTGTTTGCTGCTGTTGCCAAAGTGGCTTGCTACCTGTTCCCCACAACTTATGATGGAATTGGTTTCCTGGGTTCAGATGGCATAACCATTATAGGTCAAACAACCACTAGAACAAGCCACAGATTGTCAAGGTGGGTTGTTGCCTCAAAACAAGCAGGAGGTATTCTGGGTTTCGATGACACAAGAACCGACTGTGGCTAGTTATCCATGATAGGATATTGTGGACCCAGAGATCAAATAATCATAAATAGGATTTTTTTAGTAAACAGGCATTGAATCATGCTTTAAGATTGTAACAGAAATAGAAACACAGAAATATAGACACATGGCAAGCCAGAAGAGGCCTCCTAGCCCATCTAGTCTGCCCCCAGCACAAGCCAGCTCCGCTTATATAATGTCCAACATGTGGGTGTCCAATCTTTCCTTGAATGCCCTCACTGATGAGACTTTGACCACCTCCTGCGGAAGCCCATTCCATGTCCTAGGGGTCCAATTGTTAGGAAGTACTTCCTGACATCCAACCTAAAACCTGGTTCCTTTAGCTTTGCCCCATTGGATCACATCCTTACCTCCACCACAGGGGAGAACAGGTCATGACCTTCTACCATCTGACACCCTTTCACACACCTGTATGTTGCTATAAGATTGCTTGGAATCTCCTCTTCTCCAAGCTGAAAAGTCTCAGTTCCCTCAATTTCATCTCATATGGCATCCCCCCTCCCCACAATCCATCTACCATCCTTGTGACCCTCCACTGAATTGATTCCAACCTTCCTATGTCCATCTTGTAATGTGGAGTCCAGAATTGGACACAGTAGTCCAGTTGTGGGTGCACCAGACTTTTATAGAGGAGCAGCGGCACCTCTCTTTATCTGGAAGGCATGCCTCTGGCTATACATCCAAGGGTTGTGTTCACCCTCTTAACCATCACATCGCACTGCTGGCTCATGTTTAGCCTGATTAAACATTTTCCCTTAATTTTAATTCTACAAAATGTATCAAAATTTCAATTCTACAAAATGTATCATTTTGAAGAAAATGTGTGGTTTTGCTCCTGTTTTACTTTGTGTATTTATATTCTTTGAACAGGCACGTTGTTTGCAGGAAGCACAAAATAAAGCTTTGATGATTCCAGAGTCTACAGAGAACATTTCCCGACTAGAGGAGCTTTGGGGTCCACAGGTAAGAACATATTTTAAACACAGTAGTAATATGAACAGTGGGTTGGTTTCAGGGGTTTTATTACACTATCATGAATATCTCCAAGTGTTATTTTGTTCAGAATACTCCTATTATCAGGGTAGAATTTGCAATTATGCCGATCCCCCACTTCCTCTACAATCTCCAGCTCCCTTCCCCTCGCTGTTTTGAAGGGACCCCTAAACCTCTAAAACAGATTTTTCAGGGGTCATAAGGGATGAGAAGGGGAAATTGGTGAAGATGGCCTCCTCTTCCAACCAGCCAGTAAAAAAAAAAAAAACTGGCTCAAAAACCTCGCACTGACAGAAGGAGCCCTTCCACCTGCTATATTTTTTTTTACTGTAAAGTCCATTCAGGAGGGGAATATTGCAATCAGATGGCAATCTAGTAGTGTTGGATAATGTTTGATTATATTGTCAAAACATGAATACCATGGTGTACCATGGCTTCGGCGAATGGGGTGGCATAAAAATGTTTTAATAAATAAAATAAATAATACTGTTATATGGCTGTATAGAGAAGTATATCCAATTCAGCGACTACATAAGCACTTAATTCTTTGGGACCTGAGGGTAGCTTTGTTAGTTGTTCTTCATATAACATATCTATGGTATACATGGCCTTAATGTATTATATGCACATATATCTTATTATAAGTTAATTGTACTTCCTTCATAGAATTATAAACCCTGTTTTGTGTCTGAAGAAGAATATTCAGGAGATTTACATAAGCCATATGAAATCATGAACCACTCTGGCATCAACTCTATCATTTGGCCTCAACGTTATTCTGGCATTTTCATGTTCAGATTGATTATATTGGACCCAAACTACAGGTCAGCTGTTATTGTTATTACAGTGCAATTATATCTTGCCATGTTTCCTCCTGTGAAAGCCCAAGGCAGCCTACATTGCTCATTTTATTCTCACAACAAACCAACCTGTGAGGTAGGTTAGGCAGAGAGTCTGACTGGCCCAAAGTTATCCAGTGAGCTTCATGGCTAAGCAGGGACTGGAAATCAGCTCTCCCAGGTCCCTCTTCTAGCACTGGTCTTCAGACAGCAGGCATTATTAGGCTCCTACAATGGGTGCAGTGGGGCAAATGGAAATCTCAAACTCTTCATTCTGGTTTCTGTCCACAAACCACCTGTTCCAGGACTGATCTTCAAGCAGTGAGTCATAAACATCCCTGTAAAGTATACTTTAGAAGTTTTTTTATAGGATATGTGCATGTGCTACACTGTTGCTGTCGAACTTTGCATCATCTTCAAAAGTTAAAAAACCAAACAAATAAACACCATCAAAAGCTGGCAGAAGAAATGAGCAGAAGGTAGACAACACTGAGCTAGAGACATTTCCCTACTGGTTAAACTAAATATGGAGTATTTTTGGTAAAGTTACTATCACCACGCAGAAGAGGTAAAGATAGCCAGATTGGGTGCTAAGATACACATCAGAACTACCAAACAAAGTACATTCTGTAGTGCAATCTTTGGACACTCTTTTCATGGCTTTAACACTGACACGATTTTCTGAGGCAGCAATAGCCTGAAACTTGGCTCTTTCAGGATTTTCCACCACCATTATGAAGTGGTGGCTGTTTACAATTATGAATAATAATCAGTATTCTCTTTTTTTATTTTAGCTTCTGTGATTTTAAAGTATACTTCGCTGTCCATACATATGGCATTATTGAAAGGTAATGCATGTAGCTGTAATGGTGGTATGATTAAAAATAAGCTTACTGCTTTAAAATTCCAAATATTAAAAACAAATTCTCTCAAAAGTACCTCCAGCAGTCTTGGTGAAAATAAGTAAAAAGGAATACTTTCCTTCCTCCCCCATATTAAGGGCAATCCAAGACATTTTCCTTGTTGCATGTACAGTCTTCTACTATAAAGTTACGATAAATAAACAGCAATTTAAAAACCAGAACTGACCTTAAAAATGCTGGTTCTTCAGGCTCCCCCACCCACCCAGTACTATGCAATCTTTTCAACATTTAAGTATATGATCTTCTTATGTAAAATTTGACTCAAAAAAGATGAAGTAATCATGTGCTAAATGAAACTCTACTGCACAAAATGCATGCAAAGAATCATGTGTTTGAATGCACCTCTGCATTCTACCTGAAATTATCAGGTATATATATCAGGAAATTATACCTATCCATCTGAAAGGCCTAGCAAGTTTCAGTAAGATTCCTTAGTATTAAGAGCTATTGCTATATGTATGTTTTCAACAAATAACCCCTTATGTATATTCTTGCACAGTCTCACATGAGAGCTAACACACAATGACTGAATGCATTCTCTTAGGTCTGACAGAGAGGTTACATTTTCTCATGTGCTAAATGACTGTGCCCTAGAGCAGTTGGTCATGGAACCAAGCAGAGGGGAGGAGTGGAAGGTGGGAATCAAGAATTTTAAATTTCTTTAAAATGCTTGGAGATTACTCAAAAACACTATAATAGAGGCAAAGATATATGCATACCACAAGTGAGATAAGGTAGTTCACAGTCCTGGAAATCACCAGCATGGTTAATAAATAGTCAAGGCAGCTATTGGAGAGAAAAAAGCTTCCTTTAAAACATGGAAGTCTTCCCCAAATGAACAGAAAGAGAGAACCACAAACTTGCACAAGGGAGGTGCAAGCAGACCAGCAAAGAAGCCGTTTGGGGAGCATATTGCTAACAATAGCAAGGCTTAACAAAGAATTATTTAAATATTTCAAAAGAAAGTAAGTGGCTTTCCATGACTTCTGATGAGGAGACTGAGTACACTAAAGGCTTATTGCATACTGACAGTAGTTCCAAAGGATGAATGTAGAAACAAACTTTCTAGCACAACCATGTTTAAATTAGTGTGGCTTATTATAGTTTGTGAAGCAGCAGATATATGAAGAAATAGAAGTCTTGCCCTTGACTTCCATTTGTATGATATTGCTGATTTCTACTTGACAGTATTCCTTGATTACATTGTATTTTTAAGCTGTGATTCAAAACAAGCTACCCCTCTCTACGATATTCTTAAGGTGTTCTGGGTTGGGTATCTCAACCTCAATTTGTAGCAACACATTTGTGTTTCAGGGTACCAAGGATTCAGGAGGTAGGTTGAAGCTAAAATATATCCCTGTAGACACTGCTTTTGGGCCCAACTGGCAAGCAGCTAGGTAGGTGGCAGAGACCCTTGTCTTGCCCCATCAGGGGAATGCAGCCTCTGAAATGTTTCAGGAGATAGAAGGCATATATACTGCTGGTGTAAAGCTAAGCAGAAGAATTCATGCAGGAAAGAGTACACCCCTGGTTCTATTTCTGGGGTTTCTCCTTGGCTCCACTCTTTGAAATACTGGGGGTAGAGAATTGTCCTGCTGGCTCCCTCTACCCCTGGCTTGCTCAAGTTTACTTGCTGCTCCATCTTCCTCAGAGTGCAGTCACCACAACTAAAATGACCTTGATGGGGACAGAGCCAGCAGATGCTCCTAGATAGTTCTGTGCTACCTGTGGACTTTCTTTTGCCTTGGGTGAAAAAGATGGAGATACTAAAAGCTCCCCTCAACTCTTACCTAGTTCCAGCCTCCACCTCACATTGTGGGCTGATACCGGGCACACAGAAGAGAGCTGCTTTGTTTCATCTCAGCAGTATTTGTCTTCCTCTCCTAGAATAGTGGAGTGCTGCATGCCAGATGAATACCATGGTAGAGCTGTTGTGATACGGGGGCCATAGACAGGCTGCTACAGGCCACTATAGTTGGGTGTAGGTGTTGCAAAAATGTTTGGCAGGTATAATATGATAAAATGTTTGATAAAATGTTTATATTCCATTCAGTAGAAATAGTTTGGAACAATAAAGCATTTTGCTTATTGGAAGAAAATGAGAAAAGCATTTACACTACATTCTTCTTTCTTTGTATTTTAGACCAAACATGCTTAAGATTGCTGCTTGGTCTATCTTGATAGTTACTTGCTTTTTCGGAGTACTCATCTTCAGTTACTTTAGGTATACAAAGATATTTCGGTCACTCAGTTTTGTGGACCCACTGCTCTCCCTTCATGCAAGAACCTCTTCAAAGGAAGCAAAGAAAGAAGTATAGTTCATTTATCAAGCTCTACTTACAATGTTTTATGTAACCTGTAAGAATACTGTAATGTTTTAAAGTAAAATTAAGACCAAACAATTTTCTATATTTTCATTAGGGTGCAAACCTATTCATGTTTGGACAGAGAAAATGCCTACAATTCCCAGCATACCCCTGCCAGCCATGATGGGTGGCCTTTGGAGGCCTTTTCTCTGTCCAAACATGCATAGAGTTGCATTTCAGATGATCTACTTTTGAGTTTTAATGTTGTATCCCAGTCTGAAGTAATCTATCCCTTGCTCTTTCCCCTGAACATGTTGTAATAGTGATACTGGAATAAGATATAGAAGGGCTAAGTTGCATAAAGTTTGTGTGTCACTGCTAGTGACTTTTGGAAACTTGAGAAGTGAATCCTTAATTTCATTCATGGTATTAGTAAATGTGATGATAGATAAGTAGTCAGTCCTGGGAGTTAAGTTTATTGTTTTGGCAAACAATGATAGTTTGGGTAATATATTGTATAACCTAAAAAACTGCAATAAAAGCATTTCTTAGACAAAATCTTCCCCAATGTTTTGATATATTCACATAACCAAATTTATCACTGCCCTGGAAGTTTCTGCACACTCTTTTAATGGCACCACTTTTGTTTTTCCCTTCACTTTCCTATCAAATGTATTCTCTCTTGAGATAAGCTTGCACAATGAATCAAGTCCTCCAAAAGGCTGTTACATTCTTCAACAAAAAACAAAAAAGCTTGTCTTGTTGCTTAAAAAAGTGACTTTGCTATATATATAAAACATTAAGATAGCATGAGAAATCATCTTGCTGAGAAATGAGAAAGTATGCTTCTACATGTTGCTTAATTACTCTAGTCTGGGTCCTTTTGCTAGTGGGAGCAGCCGCACAAGCAGGGACCCGTCATCCACATTCAGTCTGGGGATTCAGATCGGCATTTTTCACTTGCCCCTTGCCTCACAAGCCATAATCATTTTTCTTGGCTTATGAGTTTAGCTTGTTGCAAGAACCTCATGAGATTATGGGTTTGCAGTCACGTAAAGCAAAACAATAGAAGAAGACTGTCTAGCTTGTTTGGCTGCTCCCACTTGCAGGAAGAAGCAGCTGAACAGGAGGGTTCAAGCACTGTGTGCAAGTGAATGGGATTAAGATTTTACAGGGAAAAATATATGACCAAAACCTAATGGCATCAGGCCAATGGAAGCTTTTCCCTTGGGGCTAATACAGGGAAAGAAATAAGGGCCTTGGGAAACTGCTTATATAGTGTTAGACAAGTGGTTTATCTAGCTCAATATTGTCTACATTGCATCAACTTTTCAGGCTTACATACAGGAATCTTAGCTGCACCTGGAGATGCCAGAAAGTCAACTTGGCATATTTTATGATCCTGTTTAAGGCATCTTGTGGCTGCCATTTAAATTGGAAAAGGTAGACAAGTTCATTGCATCCACACAATTTGCATGACATCTACCTTGGCTTGAAATCCCTATCTTGGTGCTTTTGCTGTGAATGAATCTCTTGAGCTGTTTCCAGATGGATGGCTTCCAGCACTACCAATCAAAAGGCACTGTATAGTTATTCCACTTTTTCCTCCACTTACTTTTTTTACAGAAGCAGAGGGAAAACTGCAAGCACAAGTCCTCATCTGGTTGTGCATAGGACACAATGTTCACAGTACAATGGAGAGAAATTAGTGAAGAATGAAAGTCATCTACTGCCCGTACTCCAACTAGCACTAGCGGTAATAAAAAGGATGCTAATACAAACAGCGAATTTGTTTAATCTACATGGTGTAAAACAAGCACATACAGACAAAACATTATTTATACAATATTTTATTAGTCCCTGCAAAGAATCAGGAGATAGGAACGGCTACTTGCAAAAGCATGGAATAGCGGTGAAATTTCTTTAGCCTTTCAAATACACATCTGGAACCTTCCTGGCAATAATTCATCCAAACAAAGACGGAACAAAAATCCTTTGCAGGCATTAAAGTCTGCTAAGAATTATACCGCTGAATTATACCACTAACGAACATGGCTGAACGTATGACAGACAAGCGGGCAAGTCTTTTGGCACAAATAAAAGGAGAATCCGGGATAGACGAGCGTCGGCATTTAAAGAGCAGATGGCACAGGAGTCCTTTTTCTTTTTTTAAATGCTGTACTTGCAGGACCACGGTCACTTTGTTGCCGCGGACCACCCGCTCCATTGGACGAGGAGCCGCTTTCAGACATGGCTCCCATAGGGGAAGGTTCCTCTCTCGCTCTTAAGACACATGCGAAAAGACAGGAGGCGCACCCGACTCTGCCGGCGGCCTGTAATTCTTCCCAGCCTTTTCACATAGAAAATACAGTTGCTGCATCCAGCAGCAGCTATCGTAGTCTATTAGTCTCTCTTTGACATCCTTTTTCTACTCTAACCAAGGGACCCACCCTCTTATCGGAACAGAATGAAAGGGAGACCGCTTCATACCCATATGTAGAAAGAACCACATTTCCCAGTGTGCCTTGCGCCTCTCTCTGCAGTGTTTCCGTGAAATGTTCGCGCGTAACCTTGTAGGCGTCGGTTCTGTTGGTGTCTTTGTCGAGCCAACTCGCGCGCTCCT